TAACAAGGAAACCACCTCCATTTCTGTCTCCTCATAAAATGGAGGAGCATAATGCCGTGTCCATGTCAGCATGAGGCACAGTGTCCACCCAAATTAACTAAGCAGTGAAGCCACAGCTAAGTGGACAAGTAAATGAAGGCAGCGGCCACATTAGGACCCTCTACATTTGCAACCTCAGGATATCTATGTTCCAGGGCCATGTCTCTTACTACTTGTGCTATGGCCTTGGACAAGCGCTTGCTTTCCTCAAAGCCTCAGTCCCTTGTGTATAAAATGGCATTAATAACTGTATCAACTTTGCCATACGACAGTAAGGACTGAAGGAGATGACATATCAGACAGGGCCTGTAAACTCTAAAGCAGTGTTCAAGTGCTAAAGGCCACAGAACACAGTCCCTGCCTTCAGGCAGCTCATAATCCAGACCTGCACTGTCCAATGTGGTAGCCACCAGCCACAGGTGGCCATGGAGTCCTGAAAATGTGACTGATGAAAACTGATACAGGCTCTAAGTATATGATAATACAAAAGAGAAGTAAAAATATGGTTTATATTGAATACATGTTGAGATGATACTATTTTGATATATTGTGATAAATAAAATGTATTAGTAAAATCAATGTCTCCTATTTCTTTTTACTACTGTTAATGTGGCTACTAGAAAATTTTAAAGTATGTATGTGGCTTATATCATATTTCTATTGGATAGTGCTGGTCTAGATGGATGGGCATCCACAAAGTCAATGATAATACAAGAGCTAAACAATAAAATGTCCGTAAGTACAAGGCCAAGAGGGGTACTCAACATTTTATGAATGTGTAATTAGGCTGACAAGAGCAATAATTTATGACTATGAAGATGCCAGCCAACCAGTGTGTTTTGGAATGTAAACTAATTATGTGTGTGTCTCTTCTGAGCCTCTAACGATCAGAAAAGCTCACGGCCCACATAAACATTTTGAACTCTGAGCGCCTATCAGGACAATCCAATCCAACACCTTATTTGTTTCAGTTGAAGAATCTGAGGTCCCGAGAAGCCTGAGACTTAACCACGACCACATAGCCCATGAATGACCCTGTGTACCTTCCATTAGACCGCAGTGGGACTTCAGAGATTCTCAAAAGCTTTTATATAAAGATTGTCTAGATTGAGTCACACAATAAACCTGGGAAATAACAACATATCTGCATTTGGCAGATGAGAAAATGGAGGCCCTGAATGACTAAACACACAGAATTAGTGGCATCTTTGAGGCCAGCACCCTGACCTTTCACCCCATGCTCTTCTTCCCACCCCAGGCTCCCTCTCTAGATCCAGAGGATGGTCCAATAACATGTAGCATCTGCGTTCCCTGGTGTCCCCACCGCTCCTCATTCAGGATACGCCTGTGAGCGTTCTTCAGCCTAATTGAATAATGGAACCACACTGATCCTTTCTTCTGAGGTCCAGGGGCACTGTTTCCTCTCCACCCTAGTTCAGCTTGGGAATGTTGACTTTGGAAAACAGCACCAAAAGCACTCTGGCTGCAATTTCCAAATCAGAAACAGCCTCCAAATCCTCACTGAGCAGAGAGTAAGAAATCTCAGAAGGAAGAGCAGTCTGTTTAGGCTGTGAGAGCCTAGAACCTCTTCTCTTCATGGAGCCTCCAGGGACGTATGAGGTCATCGCCTTCAGCTCACATCCACAAATGGGTACCTTCTGTGTGTTCTGGGATTTAGAGATGAATAAAATAAGTCTTAGCTCCTAATCATTCCTCATCCAACAGAGGAGATTTGCACAGATGGTCAGCAGGACCACGAGGCAGAAGGACATGGGTACCATACAATGTGGCCCAGAATAAGGAAGCTCAGGTCCAGGTGGGCTCCCTGGGGGAGTGGGGTCTGACCCAGGTCTTAGAGGATGAGAAGGACATCGTAGGCAGAGAAAGGCAGGGAGAACAGAGATCCAAGAAAATGTCAGTGTTTGAGGACGTATGACCCTGGGGTGGCTGTTCCTTCCTGGTGCTCTCCAAGGTCTTGCTGACCAAACCTTCTCAGCAACAATAGTATCTCCATAACTCTCTGAGATGCTTCATCTGCATGCCCAGTCTCATTAGATCCTTATGAGCACCCCCAGAAGGTAGGCAAAGCAGGTGTGGAGACACACCCAGAAACCACTCTGATCTCAGGGTGAGGCTTCCCCTCCAGACCAGCTGGGCCCTCGGTGAGGGGAGAAGGGCAGACATGGACGCTCAGGGGGCTGAGAGGAAACCTCAGAAGACCGGGCCTGCTGCTGAGCAGCTTGTCCAGAGCCACAGAGTTGCGGCAGGATAACGCCCCTGCATCCGGGTTGGCCTGACTCAAGGCCCTGCTCATGTCTCCAGCAGGAAGGTGAGAGGGACATGGTGTCAAGGGTCATATTATTTCCACGGTAGAAACCAAAGAACCATACTAACTCCCGCAAGAGAGGCGAGAGTACACGCATCAGCTGTGATGCCCTCAAGCCTCACCCTGAGAAAGCCCGGGCTGGGCCAGCCGTCACACAAATCGTCTTTCTTTCCAGGGCACTCAGACTCTCCACCTGCCCTCAGCCTGGTGTCTTCCCCAAGCCCGTGGCCACATCAGTCCACACTCTTTGAGTGTGTGCTCTTGTGCGTGTGCACACACCAACCTCCAGCGCTAGAAGAGCGGGTGTTTATATTCTTTATTGTCCTCACAGGCATTTCTCTTGAAGTTACATTCTTCTAAACTTTTATTGCAAGTGAAAGAAATGCATAAATGTGTAGTGCAGAGTTGCTGACACGCTAAGGATATACGAGGGGCATTAAAGGCTCTGTTAGGATTTGGTGACAGCTGCCAAGAATCTTTTCTAGAATCCTAAATGAGAAGCAGTGAAGATGACATAAAACCCCTGGCGCTGAGCAGGGACAGGTGTTTCCCCTGCCGCAGTTAGTGACCCCGGGGGAGCCTGCTGCAGACTGGGAACACGTGCAGCCCAGGGCTCAGGGGGCCAGGGAGCCTCGGGGTGACTTCCTCCTTCTCCCTGCCCCTTCTTACCCACGCGCGTTTTCCTGGCTGACAGCCCTGCCTGGAAATCATCCCTCTGCAGCGTTCATCTCCTGGAATCCCTGCCAGCCTCTGAGTCTCCCAGGCTCAGCCGGACCCTCTGGAGGGAGACTGCCTAAACCTCCCCCCTCCACGCTGTGCACCCTGCCTCCTACTGTGCTCGTCCTCTGCGTGATCCTGGAGTGCTTGGTGAGGGGGGTTTTTCCCAGCTTCCTGGTGGGGTGCATGCTGCTCCTTCAGGCAAAGAGTCCACTGGGCTCTTATTAGCTACACCCTGGAGACACCTCAGTGAGCAAGCAGGCACCTACTGCCTCGAACTGTCGTTTACTTTCAAACTAGTCCTCCTTTCCCTCCAAAGTACTCTATTTGGAAACCTGCAAGCTACATCGTATTAAGGACACATGCCACCCCGTGACTGCCCCAGTGGAGTCCCTCAGGGGAGCAGAGTCAGCCTCAGAAAAGCTGTGAGGTGAACAGAGCTTAGGGCACTCAATGTGATGGTGCTTCTCTCTCTCCTCCCCAGCCTCACCCACACCCATCTCTTGGCCTTCTTCTACAACTGGAGAACTCCGGTGCAGGGGGAGAGCCTTGGAGCAGGCTTCATCTGCTAACCACCTACTGTTTGCCACGCAGAGCGTCCTGGAATCTGACAGAAAAGGACTAAGGAGAGACATGGCCTCAGCTACTCCAGGGACACCAGATGGTCATTTCTTCAAATCTTATCCCTGAAGCCCCACACCGGAGGTCTAGCCTCAGAGGTCAAGTTCATCAATAGGAAGCATGAGAACAATTCCACAAATAGGTGACTGAAAGACACCTAGCTACTCGCAGCATAGCAGTATAGTTTCACCATCTCCCTTTCTCCAAGCCTGGCCCCAGGTTATACCCAAGGCCACCACAGCATGCATTGGCTCTTCTGTGGGCGTGCGACAGGAAGCGAGTGGAGGGGGCATATCTAAACACACACGGCTGCCTGCTCTCTGTCTGGATAGGACAATGTAACCCTGCATGTCCATGTACCCCCCACTTCTAGGCCTGGGCAGGTGATTGAGAAGTAGCTTCCCCTGAGGGTCAGAGAGTTGAGGGCCAAAGCCTGAGGTGGGGCCTAGTGGGGTGGCTGTGGAGAGAACCTCCGATGAGCTTCTGCAGGGTCCCCTGGGTATGAGTGTTAGAGCCTGAGGAGCAAGAACTACATAAAGGCTGCGTGGTCCCAAATCCCCCCACCAGAATTAACTGGACTGCACTCTGTGCTGTGAGCCCATGCATGAGGGACTCTTTGGAGCAGAGAAGTCCTTCTAGTTTTATTTTTATTTTTTTAAGTAGGCTCCATGCCTAGCATGGAGCCCAGTGTGGGGCTTGAACTCATGACCCTGAGATCAAGACCTGAGCTGAGATCAAGAGCTGGACACTTAACCAACTGAGCCACCCAGGCACTCTGAGAAGTCCTTCTTCCCTTGACTCCAGGGCTGGGCTCCTGGAGCTCCACAGGGAAAGTGCTCTCACAGTGGTCAATGGCAGCCTCCTGGGAATAAGTGTAAGGCCATCCAAGGGTCTGATGTGCAGACAGCACATGAACTTATGTGAGTTCTAATGAGTTTTTGTTCTTTTCTGAAACAGAGTGCATATGGCTCAATAGCCTGGGGACAATTCTCTGATTTTTTTTTTTTTTTTACCTTAAGTTAAAAGGTTTGGGGCTTTGTGGACCACACTGCATTCCTATGGCTAATGAGAACCACAGACGGGTATTTATCAGTTTATGTCGAAACCTCCCATGGACTATTTTGTTCTTTTGCACCCCCGTACAGTACCTGGGAGGGACTTCTGCCCACAGTACATTTGAGTGAATAGTGCTCCCCAACCGTGGTCCAACTGTAGCAGCAGGGTTGAGATTAGCTACTGGGAAGAAAAGGCTAGAACTCAGAGCTGTGCCCCTTCCCCCCATCAGAGGCCCAGGTACCTGTTAGATGGGGAAGATGTGCAGGCCACCTTGGGCTGAAAGTAGGACACGAAACAGTGACTCAGCTCCCTTTTAGATCAAGAAAATGCATTCTTGTTTGTTGTTGTTGTTTTGATTTCTTTTTTTTCATCCTCCTTGAAGGAAAATGGAAAAGAGAATGGAAAGCAAAATAAAACACAAAAAACAATGTTCTCTTAAGCTTGAGAATGGCCAAAGCCTTTGATTCTTCAACTGCAAGTTTACAGAATGGTTCTGTTTGAGTGGCTTCTCCATCTATTTGTGGGGCCAGTAACAATTAATAGCATTGCTGGGATTTTTCACAATCGCAGGACCCTTGACGCTAATCCCCTCCAGTTCCTGGATGCCAGCAGGGAGGGTCTCAACTCTGGGGTTTCAGACACCATGCTCCAGGGAGCTGCCACCTGCACAGCCTCAACCTCCACACCAAACGTCCCCGAGATGGGTGGGAGACGCTCTGTACAAGGGGCATTCGAGGCAGAGGAAACCTAAGTTTGAAGCCGATCAGAGCCCACCCCCTCGGCCAGGGTTGGTCATCAGATTCACTGAGGGTCCTTTCCAAGAGGTGCAAGTCCAAGGCCCCAACCCTAGAGGTTCCTTTGGAACCCAAGATCGGGACCCAAGGCCTCTGTATATGGCAAAAGCAGCTCAGTGATTGTGGTGCGTCCCAGAGTCCCCATACACAGCTGAACAGTATACAGCAGCCCCTTGGACCCAACAGTTAGAACCACTAGATTCAACCCAGCAATGGGGTCAGCTTTTACACCGAAACATATTGGTACAGGATGAAGACGGCTGGCAGGGTGACCCTTTGCCAGCAGGGGAAGTTCTTGTCATTTTGATCCTGGGGAGGTGGGAGTGAGGAGTGTCGGGCCATATTACCCAGGAACAGCTCAAAATATTGACCTGTGGCCTATCAGTCAGTCAGCAGGGCCCTGACTACCCCCAGAGGGTATGGGCTCTTGAACTCTTTAGAGGAAAACTAGAAATGATTTTCTTGGTTTAAAAAAAAAAAAAAAAGGCAAGCCTCAAAATACAATCTGTCAAAATATAGGGGAAAAAGTCAAAAAACCTTTTTGGCTTGTTCCCAATAGCCAGCCCGAAGTCTCCAACCAGGCAGACTAGTTTGGTAGTTAAAGGCACCACACTACGGCCAGACGGCTGGGTTCAAATCCCAGCACAGCCACTTACTGGGTGATCTTGCGCAAGTTACTACTCTCTCCGTCTGAGACTCGATTTCCCCATCTATAAAGTGGGGATCAAAATAGTACAACCTCATAGGGTGGTTGTAAAGATTAAGTGAGAGAATACGTGGAGAGTGCTGAGAACAGGGCCTGGCCCTATGGACTGTGGAAAAGTTAATTATTGTTATTAGTGGTGCCATGTTCTCCCAGCTGCTGCCAGTCATTCCTGGGCACCAAGCCCTGAAAAGTCAGGATCTGAGAAGCCATCGCAGAGCTCCTGAGGGCAGCAGCAAAATGAAGACTCTCCCCTCTTCTAGTCCTTTGGAGATTTGGGTCTTAGAGGCAGCCTGGGTTAGAAAGTATTTAGATGGGCCAGTTGAGTAACTTGTGACACATTCACATGATGGAACGTGATGCGACCATTACAAATAATGAGTGTATATGAATACATGTGGAAGGATATGTGACATAGTGCTGAGTGAAATAAACAGGTAACAGAACAGAATGGCCCCATCTTTGTTAAAAGTACAGACGTGCAGCATATATGAATCATACTCCACAAGTTTAGATATGCAAGAGGTATCACATGTCATTATTTTATTTAAATCAACTCAAATCTGACTCCAAGTTTTACCCTGCTGGCCTGGCAGGAAATTCATTCTCAGGCATTCCTGGGGTTTCTTCTCCTACCCAGTGACACATGAGAATCCAGCATGCTAACATGGTGCCCAGAAAATAGGGAGGCCGGCCTCCAGCCTCCTGTCTCTTGTGGCTGTGACATCCTCACGGTCAACCCCACAGGCCACTTGCAGGTGTGTGGCTATTCACAGAAGGGGAGGTGTGTGTTGGGGGGTGCTCTTCAGCAAGCCTGGGAGCTCAGATGCCTTCAACTTGTTCTCTGGGGGCAGTCATTTTCCTCCAAGTGTCCTGTCCCCTCTGCAGGTGCTACCAGGACAGGTCAGGGTCTCTGCAACTTGAGGCCTATCAGCCTCTGTCCCTGACCAGGGATGGGCTCTGTATTGTTCTCCCTCCCAATCCCCCATGCTCACCTGCCATAATACCTACACTTTAGGGAGCTTGGGTTTTCCTGAGAGCCAGAAGGAGGGACAGCTTCTGCCTCTTCCTCCCCCCAAGCTTCTCAGGCTAAGATTGCATCGGCTTAGACTAGAAGAGGAAAGGAGCCAGGGAGAACCCACACCAATTAACAGCACAGTAAATGACTTGACCACATGTACATGTGTGTGCCTAGGGACCGGGCTGGCCAGTGTGTGCCCAAATGTAGTTCCCTCTGGTGGGGAGGGGAGATTACGGGTGACTGGAATGCTCTCCTAATTTTTCTGTACCTACTACAATAAATATGAATCACTGGTATTAAAAACCATAAAGTTTGACAGAAGCATTTGGATTCATTTAGAGGCCTGGATGACAAGTTTCTGAAACAGGAGGAAGCTAAAAGCAGGGGCAATGGAACAAGCCCTGTAGGCAAAATGAGTTTCGTCTGAGTGACTTCACCTCTAGTGCATGCTTGGAGGATTAAGTCCTTCGTGTCCACATAGAAATAGCTATTTGGTGTAAGAGGCACACTCAGAGCTCTGGGGAGAGAAGTCAAGAGCTGGGGGAGCTACTCCCTGCTCCACCACCCCCTTTACCAGGAACCAGCTTTGCCGAGAGCATGGCCTGGGTGGTGCCAGCTATTACCAGCAGTTGGGGGGGGGGGTGGGGAGCGGTGTGCGCATGCAAATTTTCCCAGCCGCCTCTTTCCCTGAGTCCCTGTTCAGTGCATCCTTCCCTGAGCTGCAGCAACACCTCCAGATGTGTCCATCTGTTTCACTGCCTCCCCCCCTCCACAAGCCTTCACTGGGCCACAGAACAAAGAAGAGGAGCAAGAGGGGATGGGTGTCTCTCATCCCGGTTCTGTGGATCGCAGGGTACCTGGCTTATTTGTTTTCGTGGGCCGGCCAGCTGTGAGCTGCTTGGCTTAAGGCTACAGGATTAGGACTGTTTTCCTTTCAGGGTTTGGTTCAGGGGTGAGACAAAGGATCCCAAGCTGAGGACAGCCAGGGCCTGGCTTCTAGGCTCTCATTTCTCACTGCTGCTGGGGATTCCAGCTCCCCCAAGTGTCAAGGATGCTTCCTTTCAGGGAGGGGCAGCTCCCTGGATAGGGGCAGCTGGTGTCACCCCTGTCCCAGGGCCTAAAACTGTCCCATAGCTCCTGGGGGAAAAGCTTCAGGGGCTAGGTCAAACACAGAGGAAATAGGCAGGGCAAGAGTTCCTCTCTCAGCCTCATGGCTTCCAGGACTGTCGAAGGCTGTTTCTTCCCTCTCCCTCCCAGCAGATTCCAGCATCCCCCAGACAGGCAGTATGTGAGGTCCTCGAAGATTCTTTGATCTTCAGACCCTCAAATCCACTGGAGTGCCAGTCCATAAATATTGTTCTACCACCCCTGTCACCAGCCCTCCAGAGTAACAATGTCTATGCTTTTCATTTTGGCTTTGATAACAATGGCTAACTTCTTTTTTTAATGGGGTTCCTATGTCTGGGCTTTTTCCCCTAACTTGATTGGAAGTTCTTTTAGGGTAGAGGCCATGTTCCCACAGGACAAAGCATAGGATAAAAAAGGACCAGGCACTCAAAACACACTCGTTGAATGGTTAACCTGGATGGATAGGTGGATAGGTAGATAGACAGACAGGTGGATGGATGGCAGACATCCTTCATGGAGATCTTCCCATACAGGAACAGTTTTTCTGTGCATTCATCCAACAAATATTTACTATTCACTTACTATACATGGTAGCCATTGTTCTAGGCCCTTGGGATTCATCAGTGAACAAAAATAACAAAAAAAGTCTACCTTCATAGAACTTATATTCTATCAGCAAGAGACCTACAAACAAGAAACATTAAAAAATAAGTAATTTCAGGGTATGTCAGAAAGTGATAACCACTATGGAAAATAAATAAGTGCAACAGGGTAAGGAGGGTTGGGATTTGAGTGCAGGTAGGTTGTAGGGTATATGGAAGTCAGAGTAGGTCTCATCGAAATGCTGACATCTGGGCAAAGGTTTAAGGAAGGTGGGGGAGTAGGTCATGTGGCTATTTGGGAACAGACAGTGTAGTTTGTACAGTGGAGGATGCTTGGCATGTTTGAGGAACTGCCATGTGGTCAGTGGGATGGAATGGCTTACATAAGAGGAAGGTAGTATGAGATAAGTTCAGAGAGGTAGAATTGAGATGGGTTGGCAGATCCTGTAGAGCCTTAGGGAAATGGGGGCCATTGAAAGGTTTTGAGAAGAGAAATGACACAATCTGATTTAAATTTTAAAGGACTCCCTCTAGCTGCCATTTTGAGAACATACTGCAGAGGGACAAAGGTGGAAGCAATTAGGAGGTGAGAATCCAGGTGAGAAACTAGAGAGGCTCCAAGCAGGATGGTAGCCATGGAGGTTGCAAGCCTAAACAATTGGAATAATGGAGTTTCCATCAAAATGGAGATGGCTGTGGGTGGAGCAGGTTTATGAGGTATCAGTGGGCATGGGGGCAGATCAGGAGAGAATACTGAGTTGTGATATCTTCTTTATAACATCCATGTAGAGATATGGATTTAAATGTGGGCATCATCAGTGATATTCAATATGAAAGCCATGAGATCAAGTGAGATCACCAAAAGAATTAATGTAGATAAAGAAGGGAAGGGAACCAAGGACTGAACCCCTGGGGTATATCAATCCTAAAAGATCAAGGAGATGAGGAGGAACCAGCAAAGGAGACCAAGAAGGAGCAACTTACAAGGCAGGAGGAAAACAATGACAGTATGCTGTTCTGAAAGTCAAGTGAAGGACACGTATCAAGGAGGAAAAAGTGGTCAACTTGCATTAAGCTGAGACTTGACCATTGGGCCCCACAATATGAAGGTTGGTAAGAACAGTCTG